AACACCACAAACAGCAACAGCAACAGCAACAGCAACAGCAACAGCAACAGCAACAGCAACAGCAACAGCACCAGCACCAGCGCCAGCGCCAGCGCCAGCGCCAGCGCCAGCGCCAGCGCCAGCGCCACCGCCACCACCCCACTAGCAATACTCATTGGACAAGCAGTACCAGCGACAAGTACCAAGAGATGGAACAGGAAGAGGAGTTATCAAGTCATCGTCCCTCCGTATCAGAAGGAGGAATCTAGCAGTAGTTAGTGAGGCTTCGTTCGCAAAATGCCCGCACCTCAAGGCATCTCTTGTACATCGCAGAGTGCCTCAGGGCCGGATCAGGGCTTAGGGCTTAACAGTGGTTTGAGGGATGTGGGTACAGGTATTCAGGCTGACTGTTTCACCAAATCTTCTTCTGGCGAGTTGCAGCTCTCCGCGCAGGGGCGTGGACAGTAGCTCCAGCAGTGCAACCTGGGAATCCGCCAGCCGTGCCTGGGCAAGTAGATTGAATAACGGATTATGGGAGTTTAGGTGTCGGAACACAGCAGCAACCAGGATACAGATTGGAATCATGCCAAAACATACCCAAGCTCATATGTACTTAGCATTGAGGTTTAGAGGGCCAGCTCTTCACCCCTACTTCCCCGCTGCTCTGCGGCCTGGCGAAGGCTGTAGGCACCCTGTAGGAAGCCAGTAATCCGCAGGGAGAGGTCCTCGTTGATGTGATGCTGGTTCAAGTACTTCCTGCCGGACAGGGTTTAGGGTTCAGGGCTTAGTGTCCTGCCAGAAGCGGATGCAGCAAAGACTCTACCCCGTCTACTTCGTACTCGTACAAAACCTTGAACCTTGCTCCCTTTGCTCTCCACAAGATCTACATGAGCAGCCAAAAGCACTCATCAAACATCCGCGAAACCCTGGAAACATGCAATCTTATAGCATCCACAAAACAAGCGCCAAAGTGTCATCTGAAGATAAAGCGACCACTGTAAGCACCGTCCGGCCTCAGCTGGCGAAACTGGTGCCTGCGATCCTCAGAAGCCTTGTTCAGCTGGTTCGTGAGGTTCGTGATGGCACCTGGGACTGGGGTTGAGGGTGCGTAAGGTTTGGGAAGTTTGGGATCAGCGTTTATAGGGCTCAAGGCTTATAGCACACCAACACGCTGTCACCAATCATTGCCAGCACACCGAGAAGTGTGGAGAAGACCAACACCGCCAGGAACGCAACCTCGCAAACAAACTTGGCTCACGACGTTTTAACAATGCAACATGCGTTGAAAAGCGCAGCCTCGAAAAAACAAGTCCAAAGCTCGAGCGCACAGCTCCCGGCATTGTGTAACTGCTAGACAGCAGTTTTGGCCCTTTGAGTTGTCAGAGGTTTGAAGCTTGTGACCGCTTCTGGTTCTTCTTCAGTTAACGTTCGAGTCCTCAGAGTTGTGGCAAAGGGCAGGAAAACGATTCATGCTGTGCTGTGGGTAGTACATGGAAGCCGGGTGGTGGAGGCGGCTGAACCACTCAGAGGTTATGGAGCCGCGGAAGTTGGGGAACGCTTCTTTCTTTGAGGCAGCGCGGGCTTCAGAAAAGCCTCTGTCTAGATGTTGCATAGCCCTGTGCCAAGCCCCCCAAAATCGGATGTCCAAGCGGCAATGAGTCCAAAGACACGCTCCAGCGTCGTGCGCGCCTAGCAGCAAAGTAGGATAAAAAGTTTGCACAGCTCCAGTCTAGCCATTTAGCAAGAACTTGTCTGCCCAAACAAGACATGTTAGAAATCAAGAGTCGAGCAAACCTTGCGAGCTGCACGGGCCTGCAGTCTTTGGCGATATTGTCCCTATGCATCAGATCATGCCGCATCCAAGATGCTTCAATGCCAGTGGATCCAAAGCCCAGCTGGCAAAACATCCAGTGCAAAGCTGTGGTATACCTTGCAGCCGCTCCACACCCCAACCTACCAGTAGATGACCTCTATGGATGCAAAAAGTCGAGGAGGCTGCCTCGGGCCACATGTTTGGTGTCGCATCAAGGGGCACTTTAACTTTCCGGGGCTCTCAGTTACATCTCGCTGACCCTGAGCACGTCACCTCGCCTGTAGTCCATGTTTTACTCGGAAAACTCGTATTGGCTCACCCAGCCTGCGGCCGAACAACTGCTTGCTCCGCTGGAATGAGGGTTTCAGGTGACGGATTACGGATGCTACGCATAGCAGCATAGCAATCTTTCTGGTGTAGGATCAGGACAATGCAACCCCAAACCCTGGACTTGACCGTCACAGCGCCGCCACAGACCGACCTTCGTCTGAGACCACGCCAACTTTATACCAGATGCAGGCCTCAATAGTCAGTTCACATAGAGTGGGTTGTGTTCTGAAAGTAAAATTCTCTTGAAGGTGCCGCAAGGTCTTGCGGCTTGGAGGTTACAAATTCTACATTGGCTAAACCGCTCGGCTTGGAACGCACTTGCACACACAGAATGGAAGGCCGCGAACGACCGTGAAATCTCTGTGCTGTGGCAAAGTTCAAAAGACCTACCTGAATTCAAACCAAAAGCACACAGACCCTATAAGGTAGTCTAGAAGATCTTGTACGTAAATAAATATATATATATATATATAATGTGTATATATATATATATTCAAACCGTCCCCGCCCCACTAACAGTGAGCACAATCAGGGGGACAATGAATTGCACCAGGAAATACACGAAATTCCAGCTAAGCTTTGAAGATATGTCTCGACAGCTTTCCTCACATAACGATAACATTCCTGAATTTGGCCCTGCTCGGCGCGGTATCCCCAAAGCAACTCGTAGCATCTGTAGGCCTGCACGCGGGAAGCACGTAGGCTGTAAGCCTGAAGAACAATTTCCTCCGTCTCAGCAGGATGCATTATGATCAGATTTGCCATGATTTGCTTGAAATTAGCTCTGCTCGGTGCGGCATCCCTTGAGCACCCCCGAACATCAGCGCAGACCACTAAGCTGTAATAGTGAAATATTTTAGCTGGGGGCCTACACTCTCACGGGACAGTTTTGGGCCAATCATGCTGCCAAGCAATCTCGAGTTGTGCGTGTCATTCTTGCGCATGGGCCATTCGGCCGTAGCACCTCGAGACACGATCACCCCTCCTCGTTGCTGGGCCCGCGTATTCGGGCTCAGTAACGTCGAGGTGTAGTGGAGCCTGGTTCCAGGGCACTCCTGACATGCATAACCACGTGTTACACCTTGGTTGACTTGTGAAACACTGAAGCTTCCACGACATGCTTTTCATGTGCTTCTCAAGAGTTCCCTGCGATACACTCTTCGTGAGTATATCTGAGCACTTGTCGTCGGTACGGATCTTTACGATCTGCGGATGCTTGCATCGAACGCGTTCTTGCAGCCATAGAAAACGTGTCATGACATGTCGCTGTTTCCCTAAACCTCTGCATGAAGCAAAAGCTCGAGCGGCGTTTGAGTCGCTCTGAATGACCACATCCATCTCGAGTCCCCAGATCAGCAAAGTAGGAGCGCAAGCCTAAACCATGCGCAGCCCCATGGACCAATGCATAGTATTCGGCCCCTGAAACATGCAACCCCACCGAAGTCTGGAGATTAGAGGTGGACTTGATGGTGTGAGCGCCGATGCGAACCACCATGCCTGTAGTGGACTTGCGAGTCATTCTGTCCGCTTTGCTCCTCATGTTGTTTACGGTAAAACCCAACACAAGCCCTGAACTGCTCCTGAGCCTTCTCTGGTCTCAATGCTACCTGTTCTGCTCCTGCCTCGCTCTGTCTTAGGCCAAGCAACTGAGACAAGTCATGCCGCGAACTGCCTGTGAGCAATGCTGGACGCTCATCCGAAATCAACTGAAGTAGCTCTGCTGCGTCCTCCTCCTTGTCTAAACACCACTGTTTGCCCGCGTTGAGTCCTGCGGGGCGAGGCCTTGTGAGGTCTAGCACAAAGCCTGGTCTCAGCCCAAAATGCGGAGCTGCTCGAGACAGGCCGTCACGAGGAACAATATCGCGAACGCGGCAACCAGCAATCCCAACCTGGAGAGCTGCGATCTGCATCACTTCAAGTGAACTCAAAGAAATGCCTTCATGTGCATACACTCTGCGCACTTGCTCAGAGGCTGCAGCGACAAGCTCGTTCTTTTGCTCGCCCAACTCAATCGCGGAACCCAGGACCTCGTAAGCAAACACCGAATCGATGTCTACAGCTTCCTCCTTCTAAAACTCCTCCACTGAGACTGGCCCCGACTCCGCCGGCGCTTGTGCTGAAGCCTCAACTGCGATCTGATCCGGCGGCGGGTCTGCTCTGACATCCGAAGGCATAGATCCCGAACTCTGGCTTGGAGCACCTCTGCAGGCATCTCCGCCTGACGCTTGCGATATCTGCCGTGCCCCTCCTGCTCCCATTGCGAAGCAGGCACAGGACGCTTGCTTGGGGACTCAGGCACTGAAACAGACTCTCGCTTCCTGCTCTCAACCTCCTGAGTCGAGCTCTCGAGCTGCTGCTGCTCTGCTGTGGCTGCTGCTTGCTGCTGTGGTGCTTGCGGCTGCTTGGCCGCTGCTTCCTGAACCCTGTTGCGGTAGTCTTTGACACGAACGCTCTCATCGCGCTCCATAAGCCTGAAGACTCGCTCTCGACACTCAGTGTTGTGCCCCACATCGCTCTTCCCAGTCCTCATAATATTGTCACAGGACCTGCATCCACGAGTGTAGCCGTACTTCTCGGGCTTCACATCTTCGTGCGTCACATAAAATGATCGCGGCGCCGGGCTCCCCACCGGAAGGTGCGGAAAGCGAGGAACTGAAACACCTTCTGCATCAACGACTGCCCTTGACGTGGCTGCAGATCCCAAGGCAGCCCACGAAGCTCCTCAAGACGCTCAGTGCTCCAGCGTTCTGAAGCTGCCAGTCTGCTCACACTTGTGCCAAACTTCACACCTTCCGAGGTGAGGCCCATGACCGCACCAGTCCGTGCATGATGCCCAACATACCTACCGGGTATCATCCTCGCTTGCCAGTCTCTCTTTGGACCGCTGCTTCTGTCGTAAGCTTCCTTGATCATCACCTTCTCACCGAACTCCAAACAAGGACGGCGCCACTTTCGGCCAGTCTCTCTTTCCCAAGGTGTCTTGACATCTGCACCCCTGCGATGGAATGCAATGCAATCACCTGCGAATGTGGGGATCCACATCAAAAGGGGATCGTCATCTGCTAAGGCTCGCGCGAGGCGGCCTTCCAAACTCATCCTCACTGCTCGCATCTGATGCTTCAACTCTCGAACGGCAGACTCGATCTCGCCATTCTTTTGATCATCACCAACGGGACACTCACGAGGAATAGCTTCGACTTCAGCCACCTTCCTCGCAGACTCCTCCTTCAGAGCCTTCATGGCAGGCTCACCGTCAGAAAAATTGACAAAACGCATCACACCTGTCATATTGATGAAATTGGACATGAACTTGCAGCCCAGCTCTGAGATGCCCTTTCGAGGCAATGCTGCGGCGGCAATCCTCTTCGAGCGACTGAACTTCAAAGCCAGCATGGGAACACTGTCTTCATCGTTGGACATGAAGAAGTAGTCAGAAAAGATGCGTGGACCTTCTGAGCTTTCAGCGGCCTCCTTCTTCAAGGCCCTCCTATGTTGAGTCCCAACGCCGCGGCTCTTCACACACACTTCGCACCACGGGCGATACACGGCGTGATTCTCCAAGAAATGGTTTTCTCTCTGCTCAGGCGTTGGTTCTGCTGCAGCTCTGCTTTTGCGAAACTCCTCAGACTCCTCGTGTGGCGGCTCACTGCCCGCAGCCTCCTTCAGCGGGCTCCTCTTCTTCGGTGGGCCACCCTAAGCCTTCCTTCCTCTCAGCTACTTCAGCTTCGGTTGGCTTTCCTCTGCATGTGAAAATTGTGCGTCCGAACCACCGTGCTTTGAGACGTTTGTTGGCGCTTCTTCGCGCTGTCCAATCGTCCTCCACCGTCTCAACAGAGCCGTCCTCAAAGATCGCCTACGTCGTTCTGGATCCCAAAATGAAATGGGATGTTGCTTGCTTGGTGCGGCGAGAGAAAGGAACGCCGCAGTGAAACATGATATCTGACGAGCTTGTTGCTACCTTCCACCTTCCAATGGTCTTCATCAGAAGGCTCCTGTGCTCCTTGTTCTGTGTTCGGCCTTACAGCTCCTTCGCCTGCCGGGC